CAACGGACCCCAAATGTTCTGTGGTTCCTGAAATAGCATTTACTATTATTTTTTTTCTATTTTAAGAATAGAAATACAGTAAAAATACAGTACTGAGAATTTGGGATGTCCACCCATCGGCCTCCCTGCCCGAGGTTGCCTGCAGCACCGAAGAAATAATAATCAGGGGACCCCAGAACAAGTGCAGCTCTCCCATCCTTTAGGGCTCCCGATGGGAGGAGAATAGGAGCCGCTTTTGTCAGGGCCCCTGCCTCAGCCCCCCCCCCCCCCCCGAGGAAAGGGAGGGCAGAGAAGCCCCATATCCATAAAAATAGCTGCCCTAAAGGGGCAGGCGAGGCTTGGCGCTTGAGCCTTGAGGACTAGGGTCTCTGCTGCTGTTTGTGTTCGTAAACAGGGACACCGTGGGCCAGGAGACCTTGAACCTCGGCTTTTGCCGGCCGGCTTGGCAGAAGAAAGGGCTGAGAGCCTCTGCTGGTGGCCCCAAGGATCCCCCTCAAGGGCGGGGGGGGGGGGGCTTTTAGAAGGAGGAGGGGCTTTCTGGAGGAGAGACCGGATACCAAAGATGGAGGCTGCGGCCGAGAGCACCGGCCACCAAGAGCTTTTCCCCAAAGGCTCACCTGGACTTCCTTCTTTGCTTTTCCTTTGAAAACGTTTTGTTCTCATGCAAGAAGCTTCTTCCGTTCTTGGGTGAGAAGCAGAACCTTTTCAAGGAAAAAAAGCAAGAAAGTCCAGCTTCCTTTTGGACAACCCTGACTGAGGATGATGGGGCAGCTCCACAGACTAAGAGCACCACCAAACAGCCAAGGGAAACGGGCCGCCCGTAGGTCCTGCTTCAAACCGGGCCCACCTGATGCTTCTGGGAGGCTGTGCTGGTTCAGTTCTGCTCCGATCTGCAACCCTTTCCATGCTTCTCCAAAAAAGACACACACACCCCACCCCACCCCGGCTACCTGCGGGTGGGAAGTGTTTCCTTTCAGCTCCTTGGCATTTGGGAAAGTTGGCTTGTAAAAACGAGAGCGTTGTTAATCTGAGCGTGTCCTGGGAAGCAGAATGACCCCACGCCTTGGAGGGGCAATGGATGCCGTGCCTCAGGGGTCTCCTTGGCAGCTGTACGACTTGTGGACTTCAGCTCCCAGAATTCCTCAGCCAGCACGGAGTCCTGGGAGTTGAAGTCCACAAGCCTGAAAAGTGGCAAAGGTGGGAGAGCCCTGCTGTAGATGACCGTTGGGTCGGCTTCTCTGGTCTCCTCCGCTCTGGCTGCCCTCACACTGGGGCTCCTCTTGTCTTTCAGACGGTTTCCGGAAAGTGGTTCACATCGAGCAGGGGGGGCTGGTCAAGCCCGAGAAGGATGACACGGAGTTCCAGCACCCCCACTTCCTCCGGGGCCAGGAGCATCTCCTGGAGAACATCAAGAGGAAAGTCACCAACGTGAGTCTGCTGGGACCAGCCGAGGTTCAGAGGAGCCTGCCTGCCTCCCTCCCTCCCTCCCTTCATTCCCCCCCCCCTCCCTCCCTCCCTCCCTCCCTCCCTTCCTCCCCCCCTCCCTTCCTTCTGTCCGTCCCTGGGAGGGGGGATGAGGCCTCTCTTGCCGGGGCCCTGGGAAGTTTTTCCCTGGGATGCCAATGACGAGGGCGAGGCTGAGGAAGCCGATGGCTGGAGACGGATGCTGAGGCCTTAAGCATCCCCCCCCCCGCCGTCCCCCAATTCCTGGTCCTTCTGCCGGCCGAGAGCTGAGCCGAGGTTGGCAGGGGGCTGAATCTCCCCTCTGGGGCAGCTAAAGACGCTTCTCCTGCTGCGCCCCCAATGACTCCTCTGAGTCTAGAGTCGCTCTTCCTGGGACAGTTTCTCCGAGGAATCCACGGGAAGAGGAGGCGGGTGCCAAGGACCGGCCTGCTTTTTCTTCTCTGAGTTGAGGAGACCGAGAGCCCCGCGGACACCCTATTTGTGTGGAGAGCCTGGTCTTCCAGAGGTTTGGCTCTGCCGCGCCCTCAGCTGGATAGCAAAGGGGTCTTCCCCCCCCCAAAAGGCAGCACAACCTTCTTTACCAAGAAAGTCCAGTTGCCATTTGGAAAAATAGCAAAACAAAAGGCCTTTGGGGGAGCCAGGACCTGCATCCGGGGTCTCTAAACTCAGCAACGTGACCGGTGGGGGGGATTCTGGGGGTTGAAATCCACACGTCTGAACGTTGCCAAGTTTGGAGGCCTCTAACCTGGACGACGGAGAATCTCCATAGACCCATTCAGACAATCCGAATCTTTTTACCCTGAAACTTCTATTATCAAGAGCGAGCTTCCAAAAATCAGAAGCAGATTCAAAACCCTTTAATTTCCTACTGTTTGTGGGCAGGTGTCCAGTATCACAGTGTTATTTTCCCCAGGAAACTGTTCCGTAGTGCCGTCACTCTCATGCGTTGATGCCGAACAGCAGAGGTCAACCTCTTCAGAGAAAAACCAGAAAGTCGCTGAACGGGACGGCTGAGAATCTCCATAGACCAATTAGGTAGTCCTCAACTTACTTAGTGACCGTTTCAATGTCACTAAGAAAAGGGACTTATGACCCATTTTTTCAGAGTTATGACCTTTGTAGCATCCCCTGGTCATGTCAAAATTCAGTCAGGCAACTGACTCGCATATATGACGCTTGTTGCAGTGTCCCTGAGTCACGTGATCCCCTTTTGTGACCTGACAAGCAAAGTCAACGGGGAAGCCAGGTTCACTTAACAACCATGTCACTAACTGAACAGCTGCAGTGATTCACTTAACAAATTTGGCAAGAGAGGTCATAAAATGGGGCAAAACTCACTTAACAACTGCCTCAGCGACAGAACTCCAAGGTTTTCAATTGTGGTCGAGGACTCTCTGCGGTACTTTTGAACTCTGTCCTGGTTTCCTGACTTCCTGCACGGGACCCCTAGCCAGCCATTTCCTCATTTCCAAGTTGAGTAATGCCTCCCTCCCTCTCCTCCCTCTCCCTCTTTCCCTCCCTCCCTCCCTCCCTGCTTTCAGGTATCCAGCATAAAGAACGAAGACGTTAAGGTTCGCCAGGACAGCATGACCAAGTTGCTGACCGATGTCCAGTTGATGAAGGGCAAGCAAGAGAGCATGGACTCCAAGCTGATCGCAATGAAGCAGTACGTACAGGCCCGGGGAGGGGAGGGGGTTTGTGTGTGTGTGTGTGTGTCCCTCTCTCTCTCTCCCCCTCTCTGCTCTCCCTTCCTCTGTGTTGTAGCGCCCTCTCCTGGCAAGTGCCGGCAGCGCCATCAGCACCCAAAGAGTGGAAATGCTCATGAAAACTCTTGGCCACCTACTGGCCTCCTTGTTTTGTTTCCTTCCTTCCTTCCTCCTCCTTCCTCTCCCCCCCCCCCCCCCCCCCCCCCCCCCCCCCCCCGGCCAAGTCGGTCTTGCCATCTTTGTTTCCGCGACACAAGACGACATTCGAGGATAAATCAGGGCCAGGAATCTGCATCCTCCTAAATCTCCCAGCCTTGTAACTTTTAACTGGGCAGAACGGTGCATCGTAGGGCAACCGAGGTACCCCCAATGGGCTAACTTGTGCAATATGTCCAAAATTTGGGAGCCCCACCACCCCCAGGACTCCTGTGGAACTGAAATTTGGCAAAGTTTGTAAAACCTTTGATGATGCCAACTCCGTCGTAAAAGTTTGTGGCGTAATGTAACCCTTCGCGTGGTGACGTAGTTCCAACCGAGGCCCCCCGGAGTGCGTCCCAGCGCTTCCCTTGAGGGCGTTGGAAGCTCCGTCCTGGGGAAGGACGCCCTGGAGGAATCCGGCCAGGAGAGAGAGGGACGAAGGGACGAGCCAACCAGCCCCAGGTTGCCTAGCAGGATGAGTCAGGTTGGAGGACAAACGGGGCACTTTCCAGGGGTCCAAAACGAGAGCGGCATCCCAAGAGCAGGTCAGAAGCTACTCTATAAAAAAGAGGGAGCGGAGGTGGGAAAGGGGGGCGAAAGTTAGTTCTGCTGAGTCGGGTGTGTTGGCAAAGTTACCCCCCCCCCCCCCCCGAGCTGCAGGGTAGGAAGCCTGGCTGGAGGAAGGAAGGTTTCAGCGGAAGCCGAGGAAGCAGAACCCTTGGCCACCCTTGGCCCTCAGCCGCCTTGACGGGGATGGGAGCTTTCTACCCACCAGAGAGACTCCACCCAGGAAGCAGGGGCCCTTTCCCCTCCCCTCCCCCTCAGGGAGGAGGGGGCCTGCTCTGCGGGGGAGACCCTGGTACCTTTCCCTGCGGCTGAAGGACTGGGCCGAGGCGGCGGCCGTCCGGGCTCTCTCTCTCTCCCTCTCGGCTGAAGGAAAGGAGCCTGCCTGGCCCTCTGGCCCTGGGCTGCCCCAAGACGATTCCCACTTGAGGGGGGCTAGGAGGTGGAAAGGAGAAGTCGTCTGCCTGACATTCACAGGGCTCTTTCGTCTGTGTGGATTGATGCTTATGAGCCAAGAATCTTTGGGGGATTCGCTTATTTGTAAAACACATTTATTTATTTGAGTCATTTGCCGTCCATCTCATATCCAGCAACGGTGAGCAATTCTGGTGATGCAGAGCTGTGAAAGCAAACCAATAAAACGGCACCCAGCTAGTACCCAGCGGTGGCCTGTTGGGGTCAGCGGCTGCCCGTCCAGTGCTCTGAGCAGCCTAGCCGTGTGTGTGTGTGTGTGTGTGTGTGTGTG